AAATCCATACAAAGACACATTGTACTGAATGAAATAGAAGAGTATTAAATGCAAAAAAATAATACACTATAAGCCACCAATAAGAAAGAGTGGATGCCCTACAGAGATTGAAGAGTAATATTGAAACTTTCTCAACAGGGTAGCAGATTGCAGCAAAAGGTTTAATTTTTATATAACACAGGTCCAAAACCCCATATCTAGTGCAAAAGCAAAATGTTTTTAAAATAGAAAGATTTACACACAACGTTCAGTTTTTATAACAGCACAAGTAGCTCCCTGTGCTAATGTTAGAATGTCTAATGCCATCTGATTTTAGAGGATGGTCTATCTCATTAATTTTACTTTTTTATTTAGGAAAGTGATACAAAGAGAGAGAGAGACAGAGAGACAGAGAGAGGGAGAGACAGAGAAAGAGAGAGAGAGACAGGGAGACAGAGAGAGAGAGAGAGAGAGACAGAGACAGAGAGAAGAGAGAGATAGAATACTACTCTCTTTGGACAAGATCTAGTGGATTCCAGTAAGAGGAAACTAAAAGCAATCTAGCACATATGTTATAGGTTTTATCTGTATGATCACCTGAAGCCTGGTTTTCTCTAGGCAAGAAGAAATTTTCTGAGCCACTAGAGCACATATAATCAAAGTATGATCATCAGAGCTGACAGGTAAGTTTAGAAAGTATTTTTAAGAGGTAACTATTGTAACACACTTACTCTTACACCTTCTTACTGACACCGATCCTTCATTCCGCTAGCACAGACTTTCTAGCTTCCACCACTGACCTTGGGACCTTCTCAGTGCAGATCTGTGAAACAGATTTGCATGAGACATTGTCCTGGGGTCTTGGCCTCCAGTCAGACTCAGGATTGGCTCTAGGTCTTTAGCTGGCCTCATGCGGGACATTGCCATGCTATCCAGGACCTCAGCTGGATTCTTTGAGACTTTATTGTGTGAATATATTTCCTGCATATTTGTATTTGACTCTGGGTAACTATTACAAAATAATCCCTTAAATTATGTCTCCTGTGTTAAGTTGTTTCCTTTGTAAACCCTGACTACAACAAAGTATTATTGATGTTGATTGTGGTGTAGTGATGCAGATAACAAAGAAATTTCCAGTAGTAAAGATTTAAAACATATATATTATGTAGTATTCTGCAAAGTCTAGATTCTAAATTTCTATATAAATCTAGCTCCACACATGTAGAAGAGGTTCATTCAACTTGTGTGAAAACAAAACTGATCAAAACTGTAGAACTACATGAAAATGATATTTAAAGAGAAAATCGTAAAAATGTATTCTCTAATACTAAAGGCCTCAGTAGTTTTGAAAGGAAAAGACATACACAGAAACAGTGATAGGAGGTAATATACAACAACACCAAAAAAATAATGAGCAAAGTTGATTATCCTGCAGGCCAAAATTAAATCAAATGAAAACAAATTTGACTAGGAGTGCTTATGTTTCAAAAACCACCTCTGTTGAAAAAGAAAAGAGAAATACCATTATGGAGAGCAGAAAGAAAAAGAATAGAATGCTTCACTAATGTTTGTCTTTTAAAGCATAAAATACAGGTGTAAGTTTAAAAAATGCCAACAAGAAAGAGAATATATGAGTGTCAGCAAAAATATATCAAAATATGTAAGTATAATATAGACCAAGTCAAGTATATAATAAATGATTAAATTCACTTTCAGATGTCTCCCTCTATCTTGTTAATAAAATTTTATCTGAAGAAAAATGAAGAAAAGGACTATGCAAAAATAACACCAGTTATAGAGTTTTCCTTCAGGATGTGATTCCTCAAGTTAACAAAATAATCTTCAATTCCAAATGTTATAATGTAAAATATTTATATGATATGTAATGTATTTACATGTAGTTAGCTATGTATGTAACTATGCATATATAAATAAATATAAATAAATAAATACATGCGTATATTTTATTAGAATAATATCAGACAAGAAGATAGAAAAATGTGTAGATAGACTTGCTAGCCTCTAAGCCTACTGTAATAAAACACAAAAAATTAGAACGAAGGTAATGCATTATTATTCCTTGCATCTTTGGCTGCAGAAGATAATGGTAGAAACTTAATACTTTTTTTCTTAGGTAAACAACATTAATACCCTGGGTTATTTTCTGTATTGAATTTCTGTGGGTAGCCCCTCAGACTGCTTCAGTGCTCAGGAGCATCTAAGGATCCCTGAGGATGTGAAACCAGTTGTGTAGTGCGGTGGGCTGTAATTATGGAGCAATGACAGCACAGGTAATCATACATGAACTGGTTACATCACAATGGAAGAATGTAAATATGTGATAACAACCTGCATAAAGATTATACAATAAAGAGGAAGATGCTCTTGCAATCTTGGGATCCTGTCCTCTTGTGCCTGGCTCCGCTCCATGCGGCCTGATGTTGTGGTTGATGTCCTGCACACATTTGTTCTTTGACCTGGATGCCTCACCTGCAAAAATCTCCCTTAGGTTCTCCAAATGGGCTGACAACTTCTCTATTCTCCTCTCAAAATTTTGCCTCAACTTCACACTCTTTCTTCCAAACAATATATCTCAAATTGGAATAGTCTAGATTCTAACTCAAGGTCCAATTTACCATTTAAATATCATTAAGAACTTGATTTTACCTTTATGTTGCCTTACCCACCATTGCAGAGTAAAAAGGGGAAAAAATGACTATCAAACTTCTAGAACTAGATTGACAGCGTGATTAAAAATCTACCGACAAAGAAAAGCCCAGGCCCAGATGGATTCCCAGCAGAATTTTACAAGAAATTCAGAGAAGATTTA